TCCCAAATCTTGTCTTCCTTATGGCATCAAAACTCTCCAAAGTTTCTACGCCAGTAAGTGATAGACACCTCCATCAGAAATAAGAGGTTGGAAAGAAAGTCTTGTCACTGTTGAGACTTTTTTCTTTTTTATTTTCTAACTCAACATACAGTGGGAATTAGTCAACAATATACTCGTCATAGTTAGCCACTACAGTGCTCCACCTAATGGACAGGTAAGCATTCCCTCTTCCAGAACTGAGAAGGCTGGGAGTCGAGTAAGTCGGCGGCCTCTCGACTGATGTCATCAAAGTTGCTGAAAGTTTTCTTAGCTAAGAAAGCCTTAAGGAGGCGGAGCAGGTAGCAGTCGTAGGGGACTACGTCAGGAGAATATGATGAGCGGGGTCTGGTCTCCCAGCCTTGCTCCTCAATTATTTGGTAGGTCTCATAGCAGGTATGGGGTCTCGTGTACTACGAACGAGGTGACCCGAAGCTAGTCTGCACCCTCCAATTTTTCTCCAATACTTTCACGGGTTTCTGGAGCTGAGCGACACAAATGGTAGCGGTGACCGTGTGTTCTTACAGGGCAGCTCGTTCTGCAGCATCCCCTCGCGTCCCAGGAGCAGCACAGGAGAACCTTCTCGGAATACATGCCCGGTTTGGACTGCTAGGATGGGTCTTCTCCTTGAGAGAGACACACGGTACTGTGTGGGTTGAAATCATAGAGGACCCATCTCTCATCTTCTCCTAGAAACACCTTATGACGAGGGCGGAGAAGGGGAGACTGACCAAAGGGTACCCGGGTGCACAGCGTGCCATCGGTCAAGGTATGAGTGATCCATCGAGCCAGTACTTTTCGGTAGTCAAGGGCTTACAGGCGGTTGACGTCAGTTAGGTACAGCGATTCTTGTCGCAGGACTGCGGGTGGTAGATCCGGATCCCCCTTGACTGCTTCAAGAACGATATATTAGTTATTGTGGCTCATACTTTTAGTCAAGCATTATTATGTTCTAGCAAGCTGTGGTGTTCCGAATTTTTTCCTTCCAATCCCGTTTGGAACAAGGGTGGAAACGGGCATTGGCATAGCATTGGCATGGGATTTAATTGCAAGTAAACAAATTTTTTGAGTGGAGCAGTAGCTTGCCATGAAAGTGCAAGCTATTGGACGGCAACGATTTCATGTTATTTCAATGGATAATGAGACTTCGAGCACCTCAATGGCAAAGATGGAAGTCCTTTGTGACCAAACGCGAACACCGTTGCTACAAGCCATTTGTCCTTTAAAGACCTGGAACTGGCCAAAGAAAAGAAAAACTCTTATTTTGTCAGAGATGTCCAATATTCATCAATTCGTGTCGCAGAGAAAACGAATTTGGACAATCAATGTGAGGAACTTGGCTCATGGATGAAAATGTGGTTTTCCAGTGATAAAATTCAAGGCGCGCTGGATCTGTGCACTATCAGCTTCTGCTACTGGGCAGCACGAAATATTCCGATGACTCTCCTGCTAAATATGAACATTTTGGTAGAAGATGAAACGAATCTACGAGTTGCCTCTTACTGAATTTGGTTGATCAGATGACTGATCTTGTGTGTCGAGGATGTGGCTTGTTAATTTACAGTGTTCGCGACATTGTTAACATGAATAGTGAGGGAACAAGCTCTCACTTCGTGAATAGCTCCATAAGATTCACGAGATGGTGACCGTATCACTTGCACAAAACTTTGTTTCTCGAGATAAGCCTTGTGCAAAATTCAGCTTTGAGTGGCAAATCATCGAAAGCCGTTTTTGTATGGACCACCTGGGAATTCACCTCACGGCGATACAATCCGCCGA